GTTCCTCAAGTGTGCGTTCCTGCAGTGTGCGTTCCTGCAGTGTGAGTTCCTGCAGTGTGCGTTCCTCAAGTGTGCGTTCCTGCAGTGTGAGTTCCTCAAGTGTGCGGTCCTGCAGTGTGCGTTCCTGCAGTGTGAGTTCCTGCAGTGTGCGTTCCTGCAGTGTGAGTTCCTGCAGTGTGCGTTCCTCAAGTGTGCATTCTGAGTGAAGATGGGCTCAGCCAGTGAACCTAAGGCCATCCTGTTACTAAGTAGTAGAGCCAGGGGCTCAGACTCCAAGATCATTTTCCAGTGCCCACAGCTACCAAGGCTTCCTTCCATATCTGGCACTCAGAATAATTCATACTGAACTGGTGTGGTTTCTTGGCCTTGACCCAAATACCGAGATGGTTGATCCCAGCAGCTTGGGAGACTGAGGCAGAAAGGTTGCAATTTCAGGTCCTCCCTGGGCTACAGAGCTGGTTCCCAGCCAGCCATGGTAACTTAGACCCTATCATGAAAGGGCTGGGGAGACATAGTTAGGTGAAGAGCCTGCTGAGCCCAGAGAAGCCCTGTGTTAAGTTGGGATGGATCAGTGGCAGGGCGCAGGAGGCCCTGGGTTCAATCCACCCCCACACACTCGCAGAAAGTGAGCTCAGAAAGTACCCTCAGAAGGCAGCCCTCAGCAGGAGGCTACTTCCGCAGACTCCATAGTTCTCGAGCAGCTTCTGACTAGGACTCCCTGGGTCTAGTGCAGAGACTCCAGTGTTAAAGCCTCTGGGGGAGGTCCTGTCCTCTGGGCTGGGACACTAGTGTGGAGAGAGGAAGTGCTTTTCATGTTGGGGCCTGGAGCAGGCCTTCTGAGGTCGTCCTGGTTTTGTCAGCCTCCTTTCCATCCCAAGGGGCTGGTGGTCGGGAGATCCCAGGCTAGAGTCAGAACTTGTCCTCCACTTGGCTCTGACCTTAGGGCTTGGGTAGGGAGGGGGGCTGGGGCCCTGGAGTCAGGGAATTCAGCCTCTGACCATCCTGTCATTAACCCACAGCCCTCAGGACATATCTTAATCTGTCCCTGGAGCATCATCGATTCTAAGAGTAGGATGAAGAAAGAGCTATCAATGTCCAGGGGTGTCGGCCTGGCGACCCAATCCTAGTCTGGTCCAGGCGCGAGGGCAGTGGCTGAGGACTGCCGCACTTTGACCTGAGCTCTTTAGGGACTGTTCCCTGCCACCCAAGGACCTGGTATTGCATCCTCACTGGCTCCCCTGCCACCACCCACCCCAGCAGGCAGACCTGGTCCAGTGTACGGGCAAGGGCAGGATCTGGCTGCCCGGGCTGCTCTCCCATTTATAGAAACCTTTCCATTTGGGTGTTGACCGTGCTTTGATAACTCAGCTGGAGTTAGGTTGAGGCCCCCTCAGAAACCTTTGATAACTCAGCTGGAGTTAGGCTGAGGTCCCCTCAGAAACCTTTGATAACTCAGCTGGAGTTAGGCTGAGGTCCCCTCAGAAACCTTTGATGAGGGCGGGAGAATGGCCTGAAGTGCCTATCGGGTGGGTCCCCTGGAGACCAGCTGGACTAAGACCCATTAGGCTCCACACTTCGTGTTTCATGTGTGTGCATGCGTGTGTTCACAGGTATCTCCGGCACAGACTGACCTAGGTAGAATTTACTAGCCAAGGCTGGCCCTGAAGTGAACCAGCTGTGTACAAGCATGTGGCATGTCCTTTTTTCTTCAAGACAGGGTTTCTCTGTAGCTTTGGTGTCTATCCTGGAACTAGCTCTTGTAGACCAGGCTGGCCTCGAAGTCACAGAGATCCGCCTGCCTCTGCCTCCCGAGTGCTGGGATTAAAGGCGTGCGCCACCACACCCGGCATGTCCTTTTCTTGTGAACCTTAAAATGAAGCTAGGTGGAGCCCACCCACACCACCATTTGGAAATAAAGGAGCAGGACTCTAGTGAAGTCACATTGTGTCCAGGGCTTGTCCCCAAAAGTGACCGGCCAGACCCTGACTGCCAGTCCTCAGCGTGAACCCGTTCATTTACTGTGGAGCTGAGGATCAAGCCCAGGGCCTCACCATGCAAGGTTTTACCTCTGGGCTGCATCTCCGGCTTCACTGGCCGTTCTACAGGTGAGACTTCTCCAGCAGCTTTTAACCCCTGCCCCACAGCACTTCCCAGGCCCTCAGACCCACCTGCCCTCCGAAGCATTCTTTTCCCAGGAAGGTGGTGGTGGGAGTAATGGGAGTGTGTGTGTGTACCCTATACCACTCAGCTTTTCAAACTTATCCAGCCGGTCCTTTTGCATGAAGATTGCTCTGGCAAACCCTGGCTACATAGACAGAGTAGGTCTGGTGTGGTGGCGCACGCCTTTTATCTCCACGTGGGCAGCAGAGGCAGCTGGGGCTACATCGGGAGAACTGGGCAGCAAGGTGGCTCGGTTTTCCTGCCCGTTAGTTAGCACTGCATTTCGCCCCTCTTCTTGTAGCTGAGGGAAACCTCAGCCTCCTGCCCCACCACACAGACATGCGCCACCACACCCAGCTCCAAGTTCCACTCCTTAGGCTCCGATTGGCCGTTAACAGATTTGTGCTCATCAGTTTAGAGCCAGCGAATTATTTTCTTTTAGTGTAAGCTCAGTAGCAAACTTTTTTTTTGTAAAGAATGTGTGTCTTTTAGTGGGGTATGGTAGTGCATAATCTCAGTGCCTAGGAGTCAGAGGCAGGAGCTGCAAGTTCAATACCAGTCTGGGTCAGCCAGCTACAGAGTGAGCCCCCCCCCCCAAAAAAAAAAGAGAAAATGTGTCTAGTTTTGTGGTTAGATACATGTAATCCGAGCATTTAGGAAACTGAGGCAGGATTGCCTGGAGTTTCAGACCCAC